TATCATTTTGTTGCTTCTATAAACCCTTACATGTTATTGTCATTGTTGTTTCTATTCATGAAAGTTTGGTATTTTGTTGATTTGTGTGTGTGTGTGTGTGTGTGTGTGTGTGTGTGTTGAGAAAGGATAAAAAATGGGTTTCTTCATGGCCAAAAGTATTTGAAGACCACTACACCAAAATATTTTTTCTAAAAGTAAATAAAAAACCTTTCAAAATCAGTTTACAAAACACAAAATTCCATTAAAAGAAGAAAAGAAAAAAAACATTTACTTATACATATTTAGAAAATTTTCTTTGTTCTGCAGCAAATGTATTCACCTAGCCCTACAGCCAGTCTCAAGCTCATCTTTGAACCTCTTAAATATTCTCCAAAGACTTTCCCTTGGTTATATCTCTATGCAAATATATATTAGCAAATCCACAGTGTGGCACAATTGTCACCTTCCTGCAGATAACTCTGAAATATAGCATTTATTCAGGGTTGTCCTTTTCAAGGCTTGAAACCAGTTTTCTGGGGGGAAGGCCCTATTTGTCACATTTGCTACTATTTGTGGTGTAAATACTCCAAACTTCGCCCATTGCAAGCTATCCCCATGACTTCACTGAACACAGAAATGGAAAGATATGCACATTAGCACACATTACACAGTATTTCTACCATATAGATATGATAGAGACAAATAACCTCAAGAGCATATGTTACAGGAATGTGTAGCAAAATAACTAGGAAACAATGAGTTTTAAAGACTTCTTACCTTTAAAAATATATTTAATTGTAGGCTTATATAATGTCATTTTTTCTAACATCTGTGTCTAACAACTGGCTCACAGAACTTCACTCCAGCAAACCGGTGTCCTAGCTCGAGCTCTGCAGCAGGCTCTGATCCCACACAGTCTCTACCACCTGCTGAACAACTCTACCCGGATCTCTTCCATAAGAAACCACAAACTTAACATACCAAAATCTAAATTCACTTTCCTCTTTGAATGTCCTTTGTGCACACTTCTCCTCCCCTCTTGACTTCCCTATTTCTATTAATGGTGCCTCCAAAAGCCATCTAATCAGTTGCAAGTCTTGAAGGTTCTGCCTGTGTAATGTCCTTCAGACCTGCCCCCTCCTTTTCATTCAAATGAGGGTTACTGTCCTAGTCCGGACCAATGACCTGACCTCTTCCCTTCACCTTCTTCCCACTCTGATCTACCGGAGGATACTGTTAGGTTACTCTTCCAAATGCAGCTCTTCCATTACACCCACACACAAACCCCGCCCCCCCCCCCATCTGGCCTTCAAAGCTCTCCTTGCTCTGAGCAATCTAGGCAGCTCCTTGTTCCCAGTGCCTGCAGTATTCCTTGCGGTTCCTGATTGTGTGCTTATGATCACACTTTTCCCCTTCCACTGGAGTGTCCTTCCCCCATCGTGAAAAAAAGTCATACCTTATATTCAAGGCTCCATTTATAGGGCAATGAAACCGTGCAGGTTGTTGTTTTAGGAATATGTAAGTTTATGAGAATCAGGAGGGTGAAAACACAGAGGAAATGCCAAACCTGGGAACTATTTATTTGGTCACGATCTCACATGGAGACTCTAGGAAACACTGCACTTCTCTCATGCTTATTACTAAAAGGCTTACTGTGAGTCAACATGAGGTTTCTCTCAAACCCATAGATTTCAAGTATACATGCTCCACCTATCTATCTTTCCTCAACTGAAATGATCAAGAATTGCCTGTGTTTTCAATATTTGGTGTTTACTGCAACTATTTCCTTCTTAATGCTCTGAACCAAATTGCATTGAGAGGGTGGGGGAAGGTGGAAGGTTAGAGACACAGAGTCCCTAAAGCCTGATCTGTCACCGTCATTGATAAAACTCATTTATTTCTGGTACACTGATCACAGGTATTAAAGATCTACCACATGCATGGGATTTCTCAGCAGTCAGAAGCAAACAAGTTGGAATATGTATCTTCTATACATCTTTCTTCCATCAGCTCTTCCCCAATGTTTAGAGTAAAATAAAATGCTTTAAGTGCTTGCTTTCCCAAGGAGAATCATAATGATAACTAGCAAGTGATTCCTTTTCTTCCAAATTTCATATGTGAGGCTGTGATTTAGTAGTAAAGGACAAACGAGTAGGCCGCCATAGCCCTGTGGTCACGTGGCACCTACTTTCCTACCAGGAAAGGAATTTCCTAGGAATTTTCTTGAGTTAATTTGGATTCCTGAGAGCCTGAATCCTTAGCCCAGGAGAGGTGAAAGAAAATGAAGTAGGGAAAGGTGGTAAGAGATGACTGGCAGAGGTAAAAATGTATTGAACCATCCTGCCCTCACTCTAATAGCAGGACTTCCAAACAGGGGTCTGGAAACCTCTTCCACCATAGCCATTTAGGTACTTGTCTAAAATGCAGATTCTTGGCCCTGCCTCAGACCTACTGAGTCACAGTCTCTAGGGGACTCCCTGGGACTGTGCAGGTGGAGGATCACGTTTTGGTGTTGAACAACTATGGCCTGCAGACTTGATACGGCCTTTGAACTAAAAATTGTCTTTACAGTTTTAAAGGGTTGATTAAAAAGAAGGAAGGAAGGGAGGAAGGGAGGAAGGAAGGAAGGAAAGAAGGAAGGAAGGAAAGTAGGAAGGAAAGAAGGACAGACACTGGAGAAAGAGTAGGCAACACAGCCAACAAAGTCTGAAACACTTATAATCTGGCCGCTTTGCAAATAAAAGCCTGTGTCTAAAGTTAGCCCTGTCTTAGCCCTGCCACAGCTAAAATAACTGATGCACTTTTTTTTTAAATTGAGAGTAATGAAAAATATATAAAGTCATCTAAAAACGTGTTTGTAATATATGTGGATAAAAGAAATGTAGATAGTTACAGTATACATTCTACAATGTTTTTGAAAAAATAAATTTTATACACATGAGAATTTATGGTAACCCCTTATAGTCTATCCTTCCATATAATTATCAGGTGGCAATGTATCCCAAATTAGCCTAGCAAGAATTATTGCATCTATGTTCTTTATTGGACTAAGCTTGTCCCCATATATATTTTTGTCACACATATGAGGAAAAATGTACACCAATATCCCAAAATGTCTGGGGAATGAAAATACTATAAATTCTCAAAACGAAACATAAGAACATGATGCACAAAGGGAATACAGGAATGTGGTATCTTTCTACTTAAAAGGAGTTAAGAATCATAGAGCAGTTTTAACTCCTAAGGATCTTGGGAAAGAGGCTATGAACTCACTTTGGGAGGGGTTCGGATATTCTCACTGTGGTGAAGAGGCTCAGTGTTTGAGAATCATGTCAGTTAGAGTCATAAAGTAATCCCAAAGACAGAATGCAATTCTTTAGGGGGGTGGTCTTTAGATATATTTTTAAATGTGTTTATTTTTGATGTGGAGAAACTTTATTACAGAACCTAGAAATAAATACTGGCTTTGAAAATATATAAACTTAGAAGTGACTTGTCCTTTAGAATTGTGCACTGAAATACCTCACAATAATTTTGTGTCAGTGTTGTTTTTTCTTATGAAGAAAGGAATGTTAAAACCTTACTAGCAACTAACATTTTTGATAAGTATTTAGACTACATTTCAATTTTTAAGAAACAAAGTTTAAACACCAAAGTCTTGAAACCTAACACACTTCACTATTTAATAAAATTATGACTCATTTCAGTAAGAAAATGCTTTTTTAGTAAGAAAAATGCTTTCTGAGCTAAGTTTGAACTGCCGGGGCACATGGGACACCCACAAACCCAGTCAGCAGAAGTCTCAAACTCCTATAAGATTAAAGGAAAAATAAATTAGTGTGTACAGAGAATGAAAAAAAAAAAATCCCCAATGGTACAAGTGTATAAACGGAAGTAAAACTAAAACTCCCCTAAAATCCCCCAATCATCAATCCTTATAAATTCAGCACTTATCTTCTCCCTTTACTTCTTAGGGAGCCCCTAGTTAAATGGACATAAAAGTCTTGGGTGATTTTTATCTAGTAAAACAGTCCTCCAACTACACTAAGCGTGGATGCGGACCTCCGTATTACAAATTGTTTAACTCGCAAAACCACGGATGCAAACGTGGGGTTTTCTGAGTTCTGCTGGGGGCGGGTTGTCTGGGACCCGGTGGATTTTGCAGGTGTGTGATCCAGGGCGCGCACTCCCAGGGCTGTGCAGAGGCAGAGGCGTGCGGTGGGCGCTGTCTGGGCTGGGCAGGGTGGGTGGGGCCGGGCGTGCGCCCGGGAGAGAGTGGAGGCCCGGTGACGGTGCGGAGGTGGCGAGTCAGCTCCAGGATCTGTCTAGGTGGGGAGTCAAAGTTCCGCCGGAGTGTTCCACGAGTGAGCGGTGATCGCTCCAGTTCCACTCGAAATGTGTGCCCTTTGTCACTAACGAGTTAAATTAGAGATGTTCTTTATTTAAAAAATATTAAAAAGGACCTAGTCAAACGTCCCACGAAAACATATGCTCCCATTCCCTATCACTACCACCCCCGCCAAAGTCCCCCGTCTTCAGAGAGCTGAGTTTTAAACCCGGCCTCAAACCCAGTCCCTAATGCGGGAGTCGCCCCCCAGCCGAAGTGCGCCCCCGCTGCCGCCCCCGCAACGGTGAGTCAGAGCCCAGTTCTGGTTCTGGTGCCCCGGAGCGTCCGGAGTGCGGCGGCCCCAGCGCGCGCTGGCGCGGGCCCTCGCGGCCCGAGCCGGGGAGCGGGGTTTCCGCAGGAAAAGGCGCCGCCGCGGACCCCGGCCACCCCTCCTTAACCCCGGGCTCCCCGCCCGCGCGCTGCCCAGGCCTCGAGGCGCGCCCGGCTCCGCGCGGCGGCGCGAGAACCGAAGGGGAGCGGCGGCCGGGCCAGCCCGGCAGCGGAGCGGGCGGCAGCCCAGGCGACCGCGGAGGCGGCGGGCAGGGCGCGTGCGCACTGCAGGGGCGCCAGATTTGGCGGGAGGGGGAGTGTCCAAAGCCCTTTGTTTGATGGCATCTCTGTTTACAGAGTTTACACTTTAATATCAACCTGTTTCCTCCTCCTCCTTCTCCTCCTTCTCCTCCTCCTCCTCGACCTCCTCCTCCTCCTCCTCCTCCTCTTTCTCCTGAGAAACTTCGGCCCGGCAGTGCGGAACGTCGCTGCGCAGCCGGGGAGGGACGTAGGCAGGCGGCGGGCAGCGGGAGGCGGCAGCCCCTTGCGGTCCCCGCAGCTCCCGGCTGAGCCCGGCGCCCGCCTCGCCATGGCCCGCAGACCCCGGCACAGGTAACGGGGAGCCCGGGCGGGCGGCTGCAGGTGGGGGCACGCGGGGCGCCAGACTCCTGGAGAGCAGGTGGGAATTCGTTCCCGGATCTTGTGCGGGGCTGTCAGATCGTGCGAGGACCTAGAGCCACTGCCTCCGCAGCAAAAGCCGCTGGAAAGACTGATGAATGAAAGAGTCTGTGCAGGAAATATATCAGGATGTCGGGAAGCACGCCCTGCGGCTCATTTTACAAGTTGCACGGGGATATGTTTCTGTCTAAGGGAGGAAAAGCAGCACGTTCCAGCCGGGGGCAGAGTGGTGCCCACCAGCCCCTGGGAGCCGACTAGGTCCCTGGCTTGATGCCGCGGCTGTCGGCGAGGGAGTCGCAGCGTAATTGCTGGATGCACTACGATTTGTTTGGACTTGGAAATGCAGAGCATATGGCAGATATAGAGAAAATGCCGGGTTGCTCAGTAGCTGCAGGTAGTTTATTTAGGTTTCATTCATTCTTTATGGACTTGAACATGAGCGTCAGCTGACAGGCGGCTGGGAAAAGAAAGATTTTAGGGGAGGAAAAGAATCACTGTATTTGCAACATTTTTTTAAGCTCTGGTTTTGAAGGTTGTAATCCTTATTCTCTGGGAGGCTATTTCTAATGCAAACATTGCACAGGCGCCCGCGCCGCACATGTCACCGCACTTGGGATGGGTGGATGAAGTTTCCTTACGTTTTGGCCGGCCGGAGGGGAAGGGGAACAGAAAAGGTGGGAAACACTTGTCCGAACTGTCAGTTGCTGGCGCTGCCCCTTCCAAACCCGTCTCTGAACTTCCCGGGCCGGACACGCCGGAGCTCCGAAAGGGCGGCGGGGTCCGGGGGCTAGCTGCGCGGCGCGTACGGTTGCCACTCTGCGGAAAGGGACGGAGGCGGGCAGCACCCAAGGCCGCTGCCTCGCAACCGGGACGCAATTCGCAGGGCTGGAGGTCCGCGCGCGGCGCGCACACGTGGACGTGGCTGAGGTCGCGGCTCCTTCCTGCACTCTGCTCGCACCACCTCAGGTCGCGGGGGCGGAGAAGGGGTGACCAGAGGGACCCTAGCGCAGAGGTTCTGGGATAAAGTCTCTAGGGGCACAGCAAACCCAACCTCTTTTCTCCTGGGTAGTTTGATGATCTTGTGCATGTTTTTGAACCGGCGGTCGCGGGACCCGGGGTAGCATTGGGAAGTTGCAAAGACCGTGGGTGTGGGCCCTGCGGTGGCACCCGCGGACCCTGCCTGGCTGAGCGGGGAGCAGCGCGGAAGCATGGCTGGGCGCCGGGGAAAGAGGCAAACTAGGGGGCCCTGCGTCCCTCGCCCTGGGTCTGGCCGAGCGGGGCGCGGGTTCTGCTCCTGAAGTGGTTTCACCTTCGCTTTGGGGACTTAACAGTAGAGAGCCGAGGTCACCTATTTTTTCTGAGAGCAGAAACTGGGAGGAGGTGAGCAGAGAACTGGAAAGGGTAGCGGAGAGGAGGCGCGGTGGAGACTCCGCGCCTCGAGCTCTCGCTTGTCCCCGCGGGGCGGGGCCTCTCGGTTCCCTGCGGCTCCCAGGTAGCGGAGGGGGGAGGCGGCCTGGAGGGGCGGGAACCTTGAACCTGCCTGAGGGGGAAGAGAAACCCGGCTGCGAGCCCGGAGCCGTTTCTTGCAGGGCCAGCGTCAACTCGGCTGGGATTATTAACCAGGTCAGCGAAATGAGTCTGAACCCCTTTTCTAGAATCACAGAATCGGCCACAAGGCACTTCCTCCCGCTCCCCTCCCTCTTCCCAACCCCCAACACCTCTTTTCTTTTTCGTTTCTTTGCACGGTTTGTTTCCTTGACAGAATGTAATATTCATAGTTGTACTCCTGTAACCACACCGGGTCTAGCAGGTGGGGGAGTCGAGTGCATCAAGCCTGAAATCAGCCTTTGAAAGTTCTCTGACTGTTGGGTCTGAGATCTTGTCAGAACAGATAAAGGAAAAGTTATTTCAGGTCCTTAGTAGAAATTAATCATGCTACTTAGGCGACCGGAGACAACTTAGAACAAGGAAATCGCATGCAAATCGCAAAGGCGAGACCCCTTGCCCAGCCCGCGGACCGACCCAGGCGCTGCGCGAGCAGCCCTTGGCTCTCCCTCTGCTCCCGGCATGGCCTCTTCAGGACCTGCAGAAGTCACACACCACGTTTCCCCCCAGGATTTCGCCTCTGCTGCTGTGCTTAATTCTTAAGAGGCACAGAAGACATGGGATCATTATTTATTAGCACTGGAAAGTACCTTAGAAATAGAACCCAAATTCTTTATGTATACGCGAGGAACCGAGGTCCTGAGAGAGAGGAAGTGATTTGTCCAAGTCACGCAGCTAGGTGGAGGCAAAACTTGTACTGGCTGCTTCGCCTCCAGAGCCCTAGTCCGGTTCTATGATGCCTGTGCTCTCTCAACTGATGTTGGCTGCCCCCTATGGGCGGCTGAATATATTGCTTGTTCCTGGGTGTTGAGCTGTTTCTAAGAGAGTTCTGAAAGTGAGATCTCCAGATTCTGCCAAACCTAAAAAGTTAAATCGACTTGAATCTATGGCTCCACTTTGATTACTCTGGTTTTCTTGGTATCCTGGATATTTCACAAGTATGCCACTTCATTTCGGGGATTTCTAAGGAGTTCCCTGTGAACCTTTCAAAAGATGCTGACCTATAGCTCTGGGCTTTTAACAATATTTTCACTTGTGATGCTTGTGTTTTTTTACAAAAGGGAAACTATTGCAATTATTGATCAGAAGTTATGAGCCTGTTGCTGACACTGCAGAACAGGACTAGGCTCTTGTTTGAAGGGATAGACACTAGATGAAAGAAATGGTTATAGATTATAAATACAGTTTAATGGCCTTTTTTAATGATGGCATTTTTCATTTGGGTCATGTCCTACTTGTCACCATGCATCTTGGACTTTCAGGTTGTTGCCAAAATAATAGTTTTAAATTGTAAGAATATCTAATTCAGGATTTTTAAATCACTTTTGCTTGACTTATAAAGGGTGGGTAGTATATACTTATAAGTTAGCTTAGGAAGACAAATCTGATATGCATATAAACTTCCTTTTTAAAAATAATGAGTTGTGGTATGGTATTGCTTTATAGTATTATTTTATTGGTCTCGGTTTCATGGATTTCTCAATATTACAAATAAATTCTAGTGAAGTTGCTAAGAGTATAATCTTCCTTCATATCTTAATTTTATAAGTAAAATTATAAGTAAAAGTAAACTGTGACTGTAAAACTACAGTATAATTCAGCATATGATTAACAAATATTAAGTATAGAGTAACTTCAAAAGTCATCCAAATTCAAAGTTTTGGTCAGCTAGGTAAAAAAAAAAGTCTGTTTTGAAGACAGTAATTGGTTTTTTTATAAAGCCCATCTGGAAGAATATCTCAGTTTTGAATTAGGTACATTTTAAGATATTTCAAATACCATTCCGTTAAAGGAAGAAAAAAACAAAAGAGTAAATAAGATTCTGACTGTCAAGTGGCCTAATTATTCACTTAGTGACTGTGGAGACTGAGTGTTGTAAACATGGCTACAAGTGGAATCGGCCTGGTCTGGAGTTCTGAATTGTTTTATATTAATGTTCTTCACAAAGCAGATCCCTTGATTGTCTTTATCCTTCCTCAGGTTTTTAAATCCTTTCCTCTTAGATTCTCTTAATCCTCTAATCTTTAAGGGATGACTATAATTATATTGTGGGGTATACTACTTCCTGATTTTTTCCCTCTTAATAAAACACCAGTCCCATTGGAACAACATAACTGAGTTGTTTATTGTATTTGGGAAATATTATTTAAGTGATATGATGTATGCCAAAGACCTTGAGTGTATACTTATAAAAAGGGCATGTGCTCCCATTCCTTTTATTGTCCTTAACGTTAAGTTTTAAACTTAAACCTTCATTGGCTGGAGGGTTGCCAAATGTGTAACTTGTCACTGGTCTAACAGTAACAGCAGGTTTAAACATGCAGAGCAATAAGAAAGTGCCAGGTCCTTGGCTGTATCTGTGGAGACCAATAACAGCAGAACCAGTTTACAATACTGGAGCAACAGAATGCAGAAAACAATCTTGTTGTGCAAGTTTTCAAAGTTTTATCATCATAACCTTTGAAAAGGTTGCTGAGGAGTTTTTGTGTAAGTTTTGCAGCCCAGTAGCTTAAACCTTCTTGTTTCAGTCCATATCTGCCTTTTCTTTTGTGTCTCTGCAGCATATACAGTAGTGACGAGGATGATGAAGACATTGAGATGTGTGACCATGACTACGATGGGCTGCTTCCCAAGTCTGGAAAGCGTCACTTGGGGAAAACTAGGTGGACCAGGGAAGAGGTAACTAATCATGTTACTAAAACATGGGGAGACACTAGAATGTATCCATTCATGAAAAACAAAATTTCAGCTAAACTACAAGTGCTCAAGCTCAGGCTTTTGAAATCTTAACCTAGCCTGCCTGTGCAGCATACTCATACTTACCTCTCACCGCTCCCTGTTATGTACGCTATTCCATACATTTCCAAACCATTTGTAGTTCTTTGAGTGTCCTCTCCTTCTTACTTTGTGTTCCATTGGTGTTGCCCATTGCCTGACTTGTTCTTGTCCTTTTGCTCCACAATTTCTAACTACTTCATTACCTGTGAAGACACCACCTCTTCTGTGAAGCCATCCCTTGCTTCCATACAGGTTCGATGCACCCTCCAATCCTTGGATGCGTGTTCTTACTATTGTCGCTGTGACATATCTGCCTCTTCCGGTAGACTACAAGTCTACTGAGGGTAGGGATGCACATGTGTTCATTTTTATGTTCCCTGAACTCAGAATTGCTGACACAAGATGGAATATTAACAAGTATTCCCTGAATAAATTGATGAATTGCTATTTCCAAAACCAAAACAAACAAAAGAATAAAGTAACACTCCCATAGAACTTGTCTTGTTATAAAGGATTCATTCTTTTTAAAATTTTTTTGTCTTTATTTATTTTTAGAGAGAGCAGAAAGGAGGGAGAAAGAAAGGGAGAGAAACATTGATCGGTTGTCTCTCGCACTGCCCCAACTGGGAACATGGCTTGTACCCAGGCATGTGCCCTGATGGGGAATCGAACCAGTGACCTTTTGGTTCACAGACAGGCACTCAATCCACTGAGCCACACCAGCCAAGGCTCATTTAACATTCTTGATATATAATATATGGTATTTCACAGAGCCATATACATGAAGGTCTGTTTTAAAAGCAATCAGTAGTAGAAGAAGATATATCTGCTTCTTACCTTTTCCTGATAGCTTATCAAAAGCTTATCTTTGTAGGAATGAAAAAACAGTTAAGGAGAAAAATTAATATATGGGACAAGTTACTTTATCTTTAAAGTTTCAAAAAAATTCAAAGATTTTTATTTATTTATTTTTAGAGAGGGAAGGGAGGGAGAAAGAGAGAGAGAGAGAAACATCAATGTGCGGTTGCTGGGGGTCATGGCCTGAAACCCAGGCGTGTACCCTGACTGGGAATCAAACCTGCGACACTTTGGTTCGCAGCCCACGCTCAATCCACTGAGCTACGCCAGCCAGGTAAAGTTTCAAAAATTTTACTCTTTTTAAAAAGATTTTATGTTAGAATTATTGGTACTGACTCTTCAGTTTTCTTCTACCCTACTTCTCTTAAACCAGAGCTCCTCCTCATAGGCAGGCAGGATTTCCACTGAGGTTCACAGGAAATGCCTATTTTACCTGTGGAGATTTTGGCCTAGATGGTCCTTAGAGATACAGAGTTCTGTTGTTAACACTGGTTTCCTAATTCCCATGTCTGTGTCCTACCAGGGATCCACAATGTGTATAAAGTTAACTTTGCAAGAAAGTGAGGGTTCTCTTTCAACTAACAGAACATGTTTAGAAAGAGTGAACTGAAAGATTCCCCCACCCCAATGTTTAGTGTCTTCTGTGTTCTAATAAGTTTCAATTATGGATATCTTGGTACAAAAACTAAATGATTTTCTTACATCATGCATGCCTTTAACTTTAACTAAGAAAAGTGATCTTCCAATAGCGTAGTGGTTGAACTATTTCTCACTCGAGATCCTATCCATTGCCATAGTTAAATGTCTTGAATCTAACATTGGAGTTCATTTCCCTCTCCTCCCCACACACACACAGGGTAAAACTTTAAATGGTTAGCATCCCTGGCTGGCGTAGCTCAGTGGATTGAGCATGGGCTGCGAACCCAAGCATCGCAGGTTCGATTCCCAGTCAGGGCACATGCCTGGGTTTCAGGCCATGACCCCCAGCAACCACACATTGATGTTTCTCTCTCTCTCTCTCTTTCTCTCTCCCTTCCCTCTCTAAAAATAAATAAATAAAATCTTTAAAAAAAAACTGTTAGTGTGTACTAAATATTCAAGAAGCCAGGCATTATGCTAAATGTTTTACATAGTTACCGAATGTCACCCCCAAATAACCTTTTTGACATCATCCTTCCCATTGTTTAGATAACAATACCAAGGCCTAGAAAAGCAAAATTAAATACCCAGCCTTGTACAACTGCTGAAATCAATTACTGAGTCAATATTCAGACTCTGGTCTTTCTGACTTTAAAATAAATCTATTCTCTAAATCAGTATATTACATTAATTACCTCTTGTATTTGTATATTTTGAGAGATTTTTTTCCTGAATTAGATGATTAGATTGATTTCCCTTTGCTTGAATAGATTAGACCTGTACAGTAAATGACTGATATCCTAGGATTGCCTTTAAATGTCTTAGGATGAAAAACTTAAGAAGCTGGTGGAACAGAATGGAACAGATGACTGGAAAGTTATTGCCAATTATCTTCCGGTAAGTCAGTAAGTTTTTCTTTCTGTAAAAGGAAATCTTACACAGATCTTTAAGTAAGATATTTTAGGAGCATATATTAAGACATTACATATCTGCTCATATATAAGAAGTAGAGGGAGAAATACCTCACCCATAACTTGTAGTATATAACACATATAATTAGTGTATCTAAATATTATTATTAATGGATTTTATGATATTTTAAATTTTTTTCTCTTTTATCTTTTCATTTGTTAGGACAATATAAATTATCACTTTCATGATTTGTTATATGGGAGACAACTAACCTTATAATATTTCCCCAAGTCACCTTCTTTTGAGTTTCCTGTTTTTTGTAAAAGCCATACTTTTGATACCGCAGTTTAAAATTCTGGAGACCTTCCAGACTCACCTCGCTCCGCATCTCCTACACTTAAGCAGCAACTAAGAGTTCTTGAAATCCTGTCAGCAGTCCCTTCTTTTCATTCTCCTCTCTGTTCCTACCCCCTCTCCTCTTCCCTGGATGATTACAATGGCTTCCTACTTAGAGTTTTCCACTTTTTTATCCACTGGAAGGGGAGCTTCCTAAAAGGCAGCTGAACCCTACCTTTTCAAAACCAGCATCGATGACCTCGTCTCACAAATTAAGTGCACTGCCTGGGCCTGGCACACAGAGTCCTCCCATGTGGCTCCAACATAGAGCGCCAGTTCTGTTTCTGACTTCCTCTCCGTAAGCACACTCAGTTGGACTCATTTCTGCTTTCCCTCTGGGCTTTTGTCCCGGCTGATGCCACTGTCTAGAATGTTTTGCATAGTTACTTCATGTCCTCCAAAGTTCCTATCAAGAGCTTTCCCAGACTTCTCCCAAGGAAACATAATTTCTCCTCCTAAGGAGGCATTCCTTTTCCCACCCCAGTATCATTTTGCATTGATTTCTTCTTGCCTATGAATCAAATTCTGCCTTCTACTCATTGTATATTTGCCTTTTCCTACTTATAAGATTACAAGCTCTTAGAAGGTAGGGCCTATCTTTATTCTTGTCTGAAATATTAACAGTTGTGTCGCTAAATTGAAGCACATCTCTTAGTTTGAATGGGAGTCATGAGAGTGGGTGTCCATAAAAGTTTGACCTTAATAATGAATCTCTAACAAGGCTTAATCTTGGCCCTAGATACTTCCACATGCAACAGACTGAGATTAAGTTTAAGTTAAATTCACAGCCATATGTGCAATATGATGGTCCTTTTGTTCATATGGCAAGACTATTGCCATCAGGAGGCAGAACTTCTCACTTAAAATGCAACTTTGGTATGTTATTTGTATGTTTTTTAGTTGTAAAGTAATGAGGGATAGATGAGCTCTCCAAACATGGCCTTGTATGTTCTTGAACATATTCACTGTATGTTATCTGTGCATGATTCAAGTTATAACAAAGTCTTCATGAGCACTTAGCACATCATATCTACATGACAATGCATCCTCTTTTTTGTCTAGAATCGAACAGATGTGCAGTGCCAGCACCGATGGCAGAAAGTACTAAACCCTGAGCTCATCAAGGGTCCTTGGACCAAAGAAGAAGATCAGAGGGTAAGTTCCTTCTTCATTGGCATGTGAATCTCAATTATGAATATTCCCCCCAAATGTCCTTGTTGAATGTTTCCTAACTTGAAGAAACAGGTAAAGTGTGCGAACAGGAAGCAGAGGACTCTATTCCTATATTTTCAATGAATGAAAGCAGATTTTTAGAAATTTTCTAAAGAACTTGTAACAGAATGATTACACTGACTCATTACATAACATTAAAACATAGGTTATTTTTGTGTGTTTATCTGAAGGTGATAGAGCTTGTACAGAAATACGGTCCGAAACGTTGGTCTGTTATTGCCAAGCACTTAAAGGGGAGAATTGGAAAACAATGTAGGGAGAGGTGGCATAACCACTTGAATCCAGAAGTTAAGAAAACCTCCTGGACAGAAGAGGAAGACAGAATTATTTACCAGGCACACAAGAGACTGGGGAACAGATGGGCAGAAATCGCAAAGCTACTGCCTGGACGGTAATAATATGTCAAAAAATATATTCATTGGGAAGAATAAGGGAGCGGGTGTTGAATAGTCTGTTTTCAATGTATGGTGAGTGAATTACATTCCATCAATCGTGTTTCATTAGTTAAGCCAGATCCATAGCTTTCAGAACCAGAGGAGATCTTAGAGTTTATCTGGTTGAGCGCTGCGAGAATCCACCCCATGCTGAGCCTTGGGCCAACTCAAGCTTTCCTCAGCCTCAGTGTCCCCATTTTTTAAATGAGTAATAACATAGTTCATAGGGCCAATGTCAATATCAAGTAACATGCATTTCAAAGCACTCTGTAAACTACAACACTCTAAACATAGAGAAGGAAACTGAGAGGGACTGCTTGTCTGTGGTCTGACTTCACAGAGCTGGGTAAGCGGCCAGAAGGACCTCAGCCACCATTTTCCCTACACTAGCATTTCGTTATACCACTTGGCTTGATTTTTTCTTCTGAAGAAAGAAATAATGTATTTATCCAACCTAACATGACTGCTCCCAGGTTTTTAAATAATGTCAGTGTTATGCTTTCTTCCTAAAGAATAAGGCACAAAAATGACCTCATTGTGAGGGATATGTATGGAAGCTCATTTTTGTCCATTTTCCCTATTTAAACAACCGTAACAGATTTTCTGTAAAGCTTACATAAAAAATATGTAAGTCAAAATATTTTAAGTAGTTTTCTTCTTGAGCTTCAGAATCCAAAAGTGGAGGAAGCATCATTGCAATGAAGGCCATGGTTCTGGTGGTTTATGTGGTGATGCTCCAAAGCATCTCCTCCCTGGCAATTCAGAATAAGCTCAGTGAATTCGCCAGACTGATAAAAGGATGCCTTTTCTCCCATATGGTCTGAGAGGATGTGCTGTTGATTCTTCTAAAAATTTAAGGGGCAATTGAACTTCCTCTTTCTTCAGCATACATTCCCCACCCCCATCTAAATAGTAAAAAGGAGGCTTAAAACGGTTCTTTTGAATTGAGAAACTGTTTTCCTGAGAATTGAAAGACCAGTAAAAATGCTTTGCAGTTGGAAAATATATTGGAAGTTAGCATCTTTCCTTTCTGGATCCCATTTTCTGTTCTCACCTCTGTCTGGTTAACAAAACAATTCGAGGTGGTTTTCAAAAAGTGGGAGTTTTTTCCACTCGTAATTTCTGGCTCGTGCTATTGGAGATGAAGAGAGGACAGTGAAGTGGCAGCAGCATCACTATCGTCCACCCGACTTCACTCAGAGCCTGTTGTGGTGTCCACACAGGCCCCGCTAGGCCAGACTTGAAGGAGTAACTTTCTAGGACAGCAGGGACTTGGAGTCGTATCAGAGTCTTGTACCACAGTCAGAACAAACATGAATTGCTGTTGTATTGAAAATACTCTTATCAAAGAAAGAAAATGGTTAAAGGATTTCAATATTCATAGAAAACTACAACTCCATATTATGTAATTAAGAGCTGTGAATGCATTTGTAACTAGGTAATAGGGGAAGCATAATTTTAGAGTGCAGAAATGACTGAAATGATTAAAAAGAAAAGACATTATTGGTGGACCAAAAGAAAAGGTCTCTGTTAGAAACAGTTTTCTGTCAATTAAGTCTAATCTGAATTGAAATTTTTGTTTGTGAAATTTGTATGTGATATATTTCTGTGCAGAACTGATAATGCTATCAAGAACCACTGGAATTCTACAATGCGTCGGAAGGTTGAACAGGAAGGTTATCTGCAGGAGTCTTCCAAAGCCAGCCAGCCAACTGTGGCCACAAGTTTCCAGAAGAACAGTCATTTGATGGGTTTTGCTCATGCTCCACCTTCAGCTCAACTCTCCCCAACTGGTCAGCCCTCAGTGAACAATGACTATTCGTATTACCACCTTTCTGAAGCACAAAATGTAAGCCACTCCTGAGAATTTCGTTTAGAGAGAAAGATGGTTATTTCAACTCTAGGTAATGCTACCACCCTGCAGTTTCATGCTTTTCGGAGAACATTTATAAACAGGTCACAGGGTAAATATTGTTCTTCCTGATATGTTTCTGGAAACGAGGGTAGTAAATGATTTGTCCAGGGTTACACAACTCACACAGAGACAGTGCAGACTAGACTCCAAGCTGTTTCATTCTGCCTCTGCCTCTAGTCTAATTTGAAGTTAGTTGTTGAGTGTAAACTTACTGTAGGTCCTGTTGAAGAAGAAGGCAGCTGTCATCAAATTCTTTTCTCTCCCACAATGAAAGTGAGTGTAATTACACTTAAAGAGGACACCGATCAACACTGAAATTCGACAGATAATTTTAAGTTCCATTCTGGTGGTGATCGAACAGAAATGTCTTGACTTACTCATTCTGTGTTTACTTTGTCACTCCCTGTCTGGAGCAGTTACATGGCACCATTCCCTGGCTTCTCCTTTTATCCCCCTGGGATCAGTGTGATCCCTTCTCCATTTCCCGATGTAAAGAAATGTTCTTAGTCAGTGGAAAGAGAAGAATAAAGAGGGGAAAAAAATTGAGAAACTCGCATCTTAAAATTAACAATAAGAAATGGTGTAATTTACCCAAGAATGTAAAGCTCACATGCAAATTCTATGCAAAATATATTGGTTGAGTTTTGAGAGGTATTTGACTACAGACTTTCCAAAAGGTCTCAGGTGAACGAAGTGCCACAAGAGGTTTTGTGCTACTTACTAAAGCTCATATTATCCCCAGAGAAATATTTTTATTTGTAAATAGCTAATGCCATAAGTTTTTCCCACCAAAACTTCCATGCATTTATGAATGTATTTTAGATTTATTTTTTATTGTGCTTTTCCCTAATTAAGGAATACTTCCTGCCAGGATTGATGAACACTTTAAATTTCTTTCACTATGTTGCTTTAGCTACTTAGCTGTTATTAAAGGCCTGGGTAAAGTTTCAAAATAGAGGGGGTTTTTTTAATGTGAATTTGATCGGTGGAGTTTTTTTTTTCTTATCCTTGAGCAAAACCTCAGGAAGCCAAGTCCCCTGAAGCACACGCAACCATGAATGACTCGTCCTTTGTTCTGCCTTTGTGTCTAGGTCTCTGGTCACGTCCCGTATCCTGTCGCGCTACACGTCAACATAGTCAATGTCCCTCAGCCAGCCGCCGCAGCCATTCAGGTAGGACCATTGTAAGGTCATTTCATAAAGAGGACAATAAGTGTTCTCCTAAACACTTACTGTCACCTGACCAGCTGAAATAAAAACAGAAGGGATGAGTGCAGAGATGGCGGGAGCTCCAGCCAGCCACCTACCGCTCTTCACTTCTTGAGTGAGCTTGCTCAGGAGTTCTCAGATTCTCTGATGTTAGAAACAACTCGTCAGTCAGCATCCACTGTAACCTCAGAGGTCACATCACCCCCTGACATCTAGAATGGCGTGCACAGAGATTTCTCCGGCGGCCCCGTTCAGCTGGCAATGGTTTCATGCCAGGCCCTATCACCGCGGGCCACAGCCATTGTGTTTACAGCTTCCAATCAGGCCCTTGTCTTTTTTTCCTCCCTGAACTTTTCATTTCAGAGACACTATAACGATGAAGACCCCGAGAAAGAAAAGCGAATAAAAGAATTAGAGTTGCTCCTCATGTCAACTGAGAATGAACTCAAAGGGCAGCAGGCGCTACCGGTAAGAATGTCACTGCTGAAATGGTGCTTAAATGGGGGAGAAGGTAGCAGCTTTATTCCAGTGCTGTTCTGTGTCTTTCCCTTCTCTTAAAATAACACATAATCAAGACTCTTGAGTATCTATTTAACAACGTTTAAACATGAGAAGTTGCTTGTGGTAGAACACAGTTGCTATCAGAATGTTGACTAAATTGGAAGTAGTCGTCTATGTTACAGTAGAAACTCAACGTCTATTAGTGATTATCCTCACTGATTTTTTTCTTTAGAAGGACTATAATCAATTCAAGGACTATCAGAGATCAAAGGAATAAAAATATGCATTTTCTTGCAAAACATTGTATCTGTATGATGCCTATTCATTTCATTTTTTTAATTATTTTTCTTAAGCTGGATTTTCATACTTTATAATTTCAAACATGATTTGATGCATGTTCAGTGTATCCCTGTGAAAAAGATGCACACATTCTCTCCATCAATAACATGAGCTGTTCTCTATTGTTTGCTTGTGTGAAAGCTGTGCAGACTATTCTTGAATTTTGACATCTATTTTAGTGATTGGGCAGCAAACTGGGAAAGTGGCTTGTAATTCATAACATAGGTAGTTAACCAGCCAAGAGAATAAAAGAGATGTGATACAGAGTAAATGTTTTTTTTTTGTTAAATACTAGAATGATTGTATGCTTATGTTGGCTTGACCACTTTTTAACTTGAATGTTTTGCAATTTCTCCTGTTGCGTGGTCATGCTGAAAGGAGACTTCTGTTACTTTGCTCTTCTGCTTTCCTAACCACGTTGATTTGGCAGCCCTCACTGCATCAGCGCAATCCTTAGCATATGAAAGGGACAGAAGCAACAAGAATATAAGCAGATAAAAGTGACTCTTAACTCTTGCACTTTCCAGCCTTTATGGAGGTTAGAAAGAGAGTAGGAGAATTCTTAATTCACAGCAAACATTTAGGATCCTATTGGAAATTACATTACAGTAGATTTTTAACTCCATGTGGAGGCTGTGCTTTATAACACAGTCCCTTTGTTTGCACTTTTAACAAAGGGAGGGCAATTAAAGTAATTGTGTAGATGACAGCCTACACGACTATCAAAAAGCAGGGTCTTGCATTGATAAAAGGAAACATCTTGACAACTGTTTTATAGGCGCAAGTTTTGGATGATGCAACTACTTTTATCTTTCCTCCAACAGCATCTGATACCTTGTGCAACTTCATTGCTAAGTTCCTTCTCCCTTTCTTCTCCCCGCTCTTTCTTTCTTCCCCCACCCCCTCCTTAGACACAGAACCACACATGCAGCTACCCCGGGTGGCACAGCACCACCATTGCCGACCACACCAGACCTCATGGAGACAGTGCACCTGTTTCCTGTTTGGAAGAACACCATTCGACTCCCTCTCTGCCTGTGGATCCCAGCTCCTTACCTGAAGAAAGCGCCTCTCCAGCAAGGTGCATGATCGTCCACCAAGGAGCCATCCTGGATAATGTTAAGAACCTCTTAGAATTTGCAGAAACACTTCAATTTATAGATTCTGTAAGTAGAATTGTTAAGGCAAGTTAATGTTTTTAGAAGGGGAATGAGGAAACCCATTTCTCAAATCATTGCCATTTTCTGTAGCAACTATCATGTTATTAGCATATATTAATGTAAGGGTAAAAGCATGATTTTAATCTTTGTGTGTATGTTTTCTCAAAGATCTGATTTCATACACTACCCAGATAAAAGGTAGCTTTTCACACATTTTCTTCAAAATGCATATTTTTTAAAATATTAAAGTTAATGACCTATTAGTAGAGCTTGGGTTATGGGGATGATGTTTTGAGTTATTTTTTTTATCTTTTCATTTGTTTACTTTGTGTTTCTCCAGAATTGTGCTTTGCTTTTGAATAGCACATTAAAAATTATGTTTACTTAGAGCTTAAAGCAATCTTTCAATATGTTCAAAGTGGTAATAAGTTCACTGGTGGTACATGGCTTTCTCCACAAAACATTGATTATTGATTGCCAGTCCCAGTTGGTTCACTGAAGCAAACCACCTTTAGGGAAACAGACTTGAGTTCAGCCCCTCAAAAAGAGACACTCAGTTCATTTCTTTGTTTTCCAGTTGGTCAAAAAGCCTTTATTGCATGCCCAGGAGATAGGGAATGAACACTGCCAATGTGCCATCTAGAAAAGGGTTTCTTTTTGCTTTGGATTGCATGCAAATGCTGGAGTAACCAGGGGTCCCTGCATCGCTGGTGCAGGACCAGCCTTGGGGCAGTATGGCAGACCTACGTGCAGTGTATCCGAACAATTGTTAATCCTGAAGCTGTTGCTCAAGAAATCAAACCAGGGGCGCAAGCAGGCGCTTTCTTTGCATTCGGTGTCTCTTTCTCAGTGCTGTGTTTCAGTGATGGCACACATCATGCACACACTGTCTCAGAGTTCTGTGCCTCCCACATTGTTTCAGGATTCTTCATCATGGTGTGACCTCAGCAGTTTTGAACTCTTTGAAGAAGCAGACTTTTCACCTAGCCAACAGCACACAGACAAAGCCATACAGCTCCTGCAAGGAGAGGGCAGTGTGAATAGACCTGCAAGAGAACCTAGCAAACGCCAGTTGAGTGAGGGTTCACTTGGCCTGCTCAAGCCCATACCCCCTGCGAGGCACGGCACAATCCCACTGGTCATCCTTCGAACAAGGAGGGGCCATGCCAGCCCCTTAGCCACTGGCGACTCTAGGTCCTTCATACTTGCTGATGTCAGTGGTTCGACTCCCAATCGGTCCCCTGTCAAAAGCCTGCCCTTCTCCCCCTCACAGGTAGAGCACAGTTTCTGCACAGCTGTTACTAATTTTCAACAGACCACTGAGCCTTAACAATCTAGAAACTAATCCTTTGGAACAAATGACTAATTACTGCTGCCCTCACTGATTTCATTCCATCGTTGAATCGAGCTGTTGCTAAGTCATACTTCCTCCCCAAGTTCAGGCTCTCTGTAGGCTGACTGATGATTTTGTCATAATTCTCTCTTTTGGATGGTATGAAAGATGGTTAGTTGCATGAGATGTGCTTTTATTTCCTTCACCATTAAAGTTTAACATTTCCATCCCTTTCTCTTTTCCCTCCCTTTAAAAACTTTAACAGGTTTCTGCCTTTTTGATCACTTGCCAAGTGATTCACTGACCCAGGGGAGGGGGGAAGCAAACTATGGCTGGGTTGCAGCTAGAAATTTTAAAGTTTCCACTCCATCTTTAAGTGAAAAAGTGTGGGAAGAGGATGAGGACAAATGCTTAAGGAAAACAATTTATGTTTTAATTTTCTCTTCTCAACATTGGCTCTTTGGAGTTGTGCCATAACATTTTATTAGCACAGTTTTTTGCCAATGAATATTCTTGTTTCATGTAGTGTTTTTAAAGGCATGAAAATTTTCATTCTTATCAGAAACTTCTGTTTCTTAATTATTAAAATAATTGAAGTTCATAGATAATTTGGCACTTTAAAACACTTTTCTAACAATGTCTTGAGTTTGTGTTAAGAACAGTGTTAAGTATGAACAGATGATGCACTCACCAAAATAATCATCTTGCATTTTTGCTTGTATTTTCCAAGTTGCGTTCTGGATAATATTTGTTCTGCAGGATTTTAATAGGTGTTCCAGAAAAACATCTACATATATAAGTATATAAGTTTGGGAAGTACTGCATTACATTGAGTTAAAAATTGCTTTCTTTATTACAGGGCCTCCCACAATTTTTAATACACTGATGTGCACTGTGAATTTCCAGAAGGAGGTTATGATATGTGTGTTTCCCAAACTTATTTTACTTTGGAACTGTTTGAGGAACACCTATTATTTTCCCAGAACATTAATGTTCTAAGAGACACTACCCATTTATTATTCAAGTTTTTCCACACAATGTAAACTTTCTGTAATAATGTCTCAAAGATCATTAAAGAGAGAAAAACAGAGTATAAGAAAGAAACAATCATTACTTTCCAAAAAATCACTTTTGTAAAGCTTTTAATCTCAAAGTAAGAGTGCATCTCATTTTCTTAATGGCAAGTGCCATTTCTTGACAATATTTTCTTAGGATTTTGCAAGTTTCCCAGCGTTGGGCCTAGATTTTGTTTCTCAGAAGTCACACTCCAAATCTTGGAGCTCAATTAAAATAAAACAATACCCTGTCCAGCACCACACGTCGTCAGCATCTTTATTATTTTACATAATGGGTCAGTAAAGCATACTTGCTTGTTATCATGGTGTGATTTCTAAATTGGGCTGAATAAAGAATGACTATTTAAGTAATTGTTTTTCTTCCCACATTTAGTTCCTAAACCCTTCCAGCAATCATGAAAACTTAGACTTGGAAATGCCTTCTTTAACTTCCGCCCCTCTCAGTGGTCACAAATTGACTGTTACAACTCCATTTCATAGAGACCAGACTGTGAAAGCTCAAAAGGAAAATACTATGTAAGTCCTTGGTTCAAGAATGAAGTTATTTATCTTATTTACTTATACTCAGTTAATGGAATGTAGTCCCCAAATGTCTGTTCCATCCGTATGTATATTCCACGTTGAGTAGGTCTGTCCTGGGCCTGTTACAACTACCTAGAGGTGGAAGGTGGGTGGTGGGTGGATAAACTAAATTAGCTTTTGAAGTTCACGTCAAATTTTCCTATATATGCAGAGGTAGTTTTCATATAACTTTTCCACCCAGTTTTTCTGTTTGATCAATAAGGCCTTTTCTTCTTCACTGAAAACACCTTTTCTCTTTGATTACAAGAGAAATCAGAATAAGAATGAGTGTGGTTCTTTTCAGTTCATATCTTTTTAATCTTATTTTTCCTTTTGAAATTTATCCATAGAGAGGGCCTCTTCTGACATCCCCAGTAATATTACATGATTAGAAGCCTAAGAGTGATTAAGCAGTCGTTTATATTCAATAAAGGCTTAACCAATTCAAAGAATGTCAGAGAAGATCAATATGAGTTATAATAAACCTTTCGTCTTATTATTTCCAAGTACAATAAGTACATCTTAAAAGATTACCATGTTTTCTATGGTGGGTCCTGTTTGAATGAATAGATAAAATTGACTGGTAAATGACATCAGAGCTTCACAATGCTTATGGTCATTGTAAAGACCTGAGCCAGTATGTGTGTCTTCAGAACAACTGAAAAGAGATGGAAAATATTTTAATAGTCTTATGGGGTACAGTACTTTGGTGCATTTGAAAATATGTAACGTATTTAATATCTGTTTCTTAACAATACGTGTATGAGTAATCACCATACCCAGTTTCATGTCAATAACAGTCTGTTGTGTTCAGTAGAAAAATACTGAATGTGGTAGGTGGAGCTGTGTCGGGGGCAAACGTTCTTTATTGAACCAACACTGGTTTTCTTTTGAAAGTTTCAGAACTCCAGCGATCAAAAGGTCAATCCTAGAAAGCTCTCCGAGAACCCCTACACCATTTAAGCATGCGCTTGCAGCTCAAGAAATTAAATATGGTCCCCTGAAGATGCTAGTAAGTGTTGGCAAAGTCCCGGGGTTCGGCTGGTACATGAGTTCAGACAGAAATTTTCCTCTGATGCCAACGTGCCCGCTCTTCCCTCCAGCCTCAGACCCCGTCTCATCTCGTAGAAGACCTCCAGGATGTGATCAAGCAGGAAGCGGATGAATCTGGAATTGTTACTGAGTTTCCAGACAATGGACCGCCTTTACTGAAGAAGATCAAACAAGAGGTAAATCTGAGACCCTCTGCAAGGAACAGGCTGTGAATCCTGCCCCCTTTGTTCCTCGAGGGCAGTTTGATAGGCTGGCATCAGCGCTGTGTGACAGAACCTCTTTCCATACCAGATGCTGGTCAGCGGTGCTGCCAGACGGCAGGTTTGTGGCCTTTCAATTGGGAAGCCGAGCCACTAATATCTACTTCGTGTTTGAACAGAAACACGCTGGAGAAGATAAAGGAAAGAGAAGGAAGCAGCTTTTTAACTATAGTTTCATCACTGCCACATAGATGGACAGACAATTGACACACAAATATTTAACTTTCAAGAAGTCATGGAGAATTGAAATTTAAATTAAAATAATAGTATCTTTAATTCACAGTATAAAAGTCAGGGAATCTAACTTTCAAGGATCAAAATTTTAGCTTGGTGTAACCTATTAGAAATGTTTGTTACTAGCATCTTCAGGGGACCATTAGAAATGTTTCTAATAGGTTAGACACAGTACCTCTTGAATTCATTTGTATATCAGGGTAAGTGTTTAAAAGACTGGCCAGACATCTATTCTTTTTATTCCAGCCTAACTGAGATGTGATTGATAAAGTTGTAAAATATTTGAAGTGTACAATGTGATGATCTGATATGTGTATACATTATGAAAGGATTCTCCTCCATCGAATTCATTAACATATCCATCATCTCACCAGTTTTCCCTTTTTTGGTGAGAACATTTGAATACTACTCTCTTAGAAGATTTCAATCATATAGTTACCATCAACTACAGTTACCTTGTTAAACTTGAGCTCCTTAGACCTTATCTGACAGAAACTTACTCTTGAGGGTGAACGTTTCATGGGAAATGCTAGTTCTAGAAACAACAAAGCACTTCCTGTCTGCTTTCAGGTGGAATCTCCCACTGATAAAGCAGGAAACTTCTTCTGTTCGAGCCACTGGGAAGCGGAGAGCCTGAACACTCAGCTGTTCCCACAGGCGTCGCCCGTGGCAGATGTGCCGGTGAGTGCAGGCCCGTGCCGGGAGCTGTGGGTGCCTCGCAGAGCTGTGGTGTCAGCCCCCGCAGGGGTGTCCAGCCCTGTGGTGTCTCAGGGCCACGCTGGAAGAAGAGTTCTCCTGGGCCACACATTACATACACAAATACGAATGAAAACTGATGAGCAAAAAAAAAAAAAGGCTTTAAGTAAGTTTATGATTTTGTATTGGGCCAACTTCACAGCTGTCCTGGGCTGCAGGTGGCTGGCGGGCCACGGGCAGGACACCCCTGCTCCAGACATTCTCTCGCCTGATTCTTTGCTTATTACGATTAATGTTGAATGTAAAGTTGAGGTTTTTGTTTGTGTGTTGGAAATAGATTCTATTCTATTGGAGATTTTGTGATTATTTATATTCTTAGGATTTGAAAGTCCTGTCCTCTTAAAAAAATATGTTTTCATATATATGTATTTTTCCATGAAAACAAAATGTTAATTTTTACATTTTCTTTTACTTTACTTATTTGTCTTCTAAATATAGTGTGTCCTCCTTATTAAGCTGTCACTTGGTTGGCCCTGTGCAGCGTAGTGCTAACTGCAGTGTCTGTAGTAGGTGCTCTGTACTGCACCCTGTATTGGGTTACTTTGATCACCACCATTTTTTAATAGACTTTATTTTTGTAATAGTTTTGGGCTCACGGCAAAGCTGAGCGGAAGGTGCAGAGATTTTCCCATACACACACTGCCCCACCCATGCACAGCCTTCCTTGTTACAGACATCCCCTACTAGAGAGGTACATTTGTTACAAGTATCACCCCAAATCCATAGTTTATATTAGGTGATGGTGTGCCTTTTATGGGCTTGGGCAAACGCAGAATGACATGTATCCACCACTGCAGTATCGATCTCATACAGAGTAGTTTCACTGCCCTAAAAATTCTCCGGGCTCCACCTGTCTATCCCATCCTCCCCCTCAGCCCTTGGCAACAACTGATCTTTGGTCTTTACCTTTTCTGGAATGTCTTATAGTTGGAATCATATAGTATGTAGCATTCTTGGACTGGCTTCTTTCTCTTAATATGTACTTTTGATTCCTTCATGTCTCCTCGTGGCTTGATAGCTCATTTCTTTATAACACTTAGTTACCCATTTTTAAAGTTTGTAATTTGTGAATGGTTGTCCTTTATGGTGAATCAAAGCTAGTAACAATTGTTAATACTTAGTCAATATGTACTAAGTGGTAAGTGCTATCTAAGAGCTTTAGATACATTAATTCACTTACGCCTCTCAACAACCTTACGAGGTTGATAACATCTTTTCCATTAAGGAAAATGAGGCACAGGGAGGCTTTGTCACTTGCTCCGGATTATGTAGTTAGTAAGGGTGGCTCTTGGGTTACAACTCAGAAAGTCTAGTTTCCAATGACATCCTTTTAACCACTATACTCTACTGCCACTAATTTGTAGCTCTGAAATATTTTGTTGGTACCTATATAAAATTGCTACTTATATAAAAAATAAGTAGTGCTCTCACCAGAGATTAGTTCATCTTTCATGTTTCAAAGCCGGTATTTAATATTTCACTTAGCAGGTGTTTTCCGAGCGCCCACCTCACGTCTAACTTGTCTCTGTGCCGGTGCTCGCTGCAGCAGGTCGGGGTTAGGATGCAGCCGAGTTCTCCTTTGCGCTCACCAAGGAGAGAATTTCTGGCAGTTACCTGCGTTTCTTCCCACTAACACGTGTCACGTCACAGCCATCTACTATGTACAGTGTCAGAGCCGTGTCGGCTCTCACATTATCCAACCCTTTAAATTTCAAATTATTCTCTTTCCCTTTAGAATATTCTTACCAGTTCCGTTTTAATGACTCCAGTATCAGAGGATGAAGACAATGTCCTCAAAGCATTCACAGTACCTAAAAACAGGTCCCTGGCGAGTCCCTTGCAGGTAATTACTATTCCCACATTGGTTTCTTACAAGCTGTTCACTAAAAAACTGGTTATTTTGATTTTTTAAAAAGATTTTGGACACAGAGGAGTTGCACTTTTTTTTTTATTTATTTTTAGAGGGAGGAAAAGGGAGGAAGAAAGAGAGGGACAGAAACATTGATGCTTTAGAGCAACATCAATCGGTTGTCCGTGGCACATGCTCTGACCAGGGACCGAACATGCAACCCAGGCATGTTCCCTGACCAGGAATCAAACCGGCGACCTTTTGCTTTGCTGGATGATGCCCAACCAACTGAGCCACATGGGTCAGGGCAGATGAGTGGTACTCCTAAACAACTCTAAAAAACCTCCTCAAATTCCTCATGCCACTCATATGAAACACAGTGGAAATTTTCCTTGGAGCAGGTTCCCAATGCATGGTGAAGTGAAGCATTTCTCACTGTGCCTGAGACTGAGATCATGTATTACACAGTGTCAGTACCTCCTTCTGTTTTTAAAAATTCTGTAAAAAGTTCATTGGCATAGTTCACTTTTTGTCCCCCAAGTTTTTTATGCTCCATCAAAACTCAGCTACTGTTTAGATTTTAAATGAAGTGTGAACTGAAGTAACTAAAAATAATTACAATTTATTTGACTGTCAGGGTAAGAAAGTCAAGTGTCAGTGTCATGTGGTCAACCTGTTGTTGACCCTCCGCTGCTGGGTTTTAACATCAAAAGAGATTTCCTTTGTAACTCTGAAGTCGGTGTATGTTGATGAAACACAACAAATTCCAAATTAATCCTGTGCCAAATGTAAACAAGAATGCAAAGTTTCTTCCCTAAATTATTAAAAGAAGTTCCCAAACATGAAACAGCCCCAAACCCAGCCACCTGCAGAGCCCTCCCCTCCATCCCCTGAGCTACACTGAGAGGAACTTCACAAACCCTGGGGCATAGATAGAACCCGGATTCCAAAGCAGACACTCATGTTTGGACTGTGAGTTCTGTGTACTGTCGTGGGTTGTGTGCTTTGAGAGCTTGTCCTTTCTTTAAATGGCTTTCCTATCTTTGTGGTAGGCCTTCTCTCTCCAAATTGAGTATCTTAAAACATTCCCTTTTTAAGTATCTTTGGTAGATAGCATGATTTTTTTTAAGTAATACAAATAATGCAATGCAAGTAATACAGCTGGAAGGGCTACAGGCACATTTTGATGTTTCATTCAAACAGATTGCTTTCCTTGTGGCCACTATGTGACCCAACTCAACTGCTTTGGTGAAAGGTGACTGTTGCCTGGAAGGTAGATAGGGAACATTGGTGCTTGTGGGGAACCTGCAGTGGGGCCTGAGGCAGCCAGGCCTTGGTGGGCCCCCTGTGCAGAAGACTCAGAAGATCACAAAGAATTGGGAGGTGGCAAAGGGCACAAACCCCACCGAGGCATAAAAGGGACACAGAAGACGAATTAGAAGGATGTCAAGGCAAAGGTGGTTATTTCAGAATTCTACCTAAGTGCTGATCCTGGCACCAGGGAAATGCCTTTCAGTTTTTCTTGCCCTCTTCTTTCCTAAACATCTTGGCCCTTGGTTCCCACAGCATAGAATTTGACTAAGTGCGTTCTTAAGCTAGATTAAGTTTTATGTATGTTTTGTGACTTAGCCTAGGACTCAACCTACATTTACAGTGGTATATAAAAAATTTCAAATTTTCTAAATTTGAAAGAGCAAACATGTAAATCTATTTGGGGACATTTATCATTAAAATTCTTGGTTATTTGTCTAAAATCAAATCCTAAAACTTTCAGCATGACCAAATAGTGTTCAGCCAAAACCATTAAGCTGAACATGGTACTGATACACAATACATGATGTATAAAGTTGGCGGTTGTCAGTATAGTTGACCTGGGAACAACGTGGGTTTCACACCCACAGATTCAACCAACTCAGATCAAAAACAGTATTTTCGATCTTCGATTGACTGAATCTATAATTGCAAAGGACTGACTGTGTGCATTGATCTACACCATTTTGCATAATGGATTTGAGCATCCATGGACTTTGGTACCCATGGGGGTCCTGGAACAGTTCCCCACAGATACCGAGGGATGACTGAGTTTTGGGGGCGTCAAAAGTTATGCACCGATCTTGACCTGTGCATAGGTCAGTGCTCCGGACCCCATCTTGTTAAAGGGTCAGCTGTACTTGTAAAATGTTGGTTGTCCAGCTTTTTACATTAAAGTTTTTATTGCTATTGCATTTTTTTAAAAACCAGTATTGAACTTTATTATCAACATATTTATATTTCATTTCATGAAAACACTACTTCTCTTTGAAACTCAGAATTAAGTAGTAAATTTATTTTATTAATCTACATGTCTAGCATATGAGTGAGTCCCATTTGACACCATACAGGTTCTGATATCTGTGTGTGCAGATTAACCAACTATGCACATCACAGGGTGAAGGTGATATTTGTCAGTCCTACTGAATTGAATAACTGAGACCCTTAAGTTGATTTTAGAGTTGATGCTTCCTTCTGCATTTTGTGGTTTACTGATTTACACTGCTCAAATATATTTGAATAATCTTTTATAATAAATAACTAATTTGTTTTAAGAAATATTTATTAAATGAATGAATGCTGCATACCAAGTATCTCCTTTGTTTTGTGTCATGGAGATTTGGCTTCTGATACCATAGAAAAATGTGATTTCTAAAATGTTTCAAACTTTTATGATAAATATTGGAAAATGCATCAAGTAATTTTAAATATTTAAACATATACTGCCTATATTTCATATAATCCTAATTCAACAATATTCATATAGGTTTTTATGCAATTTGGTAATTTTGTTTATTTAAAACAGTGCTTTATTGTATGTTTCCATTGACAATCTGACCTAATTAGATAGATTTCTCAGAGATGGTATTAGTGAACGTATTGTGCCTTTGTTAAATGACAAGGCTATTTGACTTAAGAGTACTTTTTATAACCTATTACTTCTGTAATCTGTACTGATAATAAATCAAATATTAAGTGAGATTTTTAGCCAAACAATCTACATATTTTTTATCATAGTGCTTTTAATTAAAACAACTAAATGTGCTTCCTAAAATATTTTAAACTGCTGATACTTCTAAGAACAGTTTATTGAAGACTGCAGTAACTATGCAATTCTGTGTTTAATCATCCCTGGCTTAAGTGGGGCAATAACACTCTAGCAGAACAGTTACTGTTTTTGAGGCCCAGATGTTGGGCTTTTGTGGTTCAGCTTCAAATGTTCATATAAGTATACGTGCTTATACAGAAATATGTGTAATACATGTAATATTTTAAAGTTAGAAATGCAAGAAGCTATGAGTTTTACATTTCATTATGATAAGTCTCAAACATACACAGAAGTATAGAGAATATTCTATGATTGAGATTTAACAATTATTAACATTTTGCCATATTTATTTCATCAAATTTTTATGAAGCATTCTAAATTTCCAGATGCTACAACATTTTACTTTTATGTATCTCTAAAAGTAAAGACATTTTCCTATATACCCTAATACTGTTCTCACACATTATTACTAACAATACTTCCTTGATATTCTCATTCTTAGGCGATATTTAAAATTCCCCATTATTCCAGAAAAGACTCTTTTTATTATTTGTTTGGTCAAAACTGAGACAGTTTCACACATTGCATTTGATTCTTAAGTCTCTTAAATCTCTCGATCGTTAAACCAGTGTCCAATAGAAGCTGTGCAGCGATGGAAATGCCCCAGGTGCCGCTGTCCAGTATTCTAGCCAAGAGTCACATGTGGCCAGTGAGCACTTGAAATGTACCTAGAGGAACAGAATTTTTAACTTTATTTCATTTAAATGGCTTTAGTGAAATAGCCACACGCCCTTCCTTTCTTCCTGGAAACCAACCATTTCCCCAAGGGGCACTGACCATTATGTGTAAGTAGAGACCAGAATCAGGGTGCTGAGTGTACCTTTCATTGTGTTGCCATTGAGAAGCAACAAATTTTAATAAATCAGAACTCTCCATAGATCCCTTAACACATGAACTATGATGCCCAACTAGAAGCTGTTGTTAGCCATTATGTACACATCACGTTATGTTTGTTTTTTTAAATGATTTATGCTTCATTTTTTTTTCCAAAAGTAATTTGTGCTGGCTGCATAATCTTGTTATGACTTGGACTTGTTTTCTTTTTAAGGTGCTTTAGCTTTAATCACAGAAATAGTCAGGGATTCATCACATAAATGTGCTGAGACCTTTCCGGTATTTATGTCTTTTGCGTAGCTCAGAATGTATGGGGCTTCCACGCTGGGCGGTCATTGTTCCACATTGTGTGGGGGTAGGGTAGAGTCCAGAAGCTCAAAAATGATGACAAATGAGGACAAAAAGCGTTCAGAAACCTTGCACTCTTCAAAGGTTACGCGAGTGCTACTGGCTGGGTGGCTCAGTTGGTTGGAGTGTTGTCCAGGGCAACAGTAGGCTGTGGGTTTGATTCCTGGTCGGGGCACAAAGCTAGGTTGCAGGTTTGATCCTGGTCATTGCGTGTACAGGAGGCAACTGATCGGTGTTTCCTTCTCACATCAATGTTTCTCTCTCTCTCTTCCTACCTTTCTCCCTCTAAAAATCAATAAAAACATATCCTTGGTGTGGCTTAAAAAAAAAGCATCACCCTGAGAGAGCCTGAGGCACACGCGCACGAGTGCCCTTCTCAGCAAGGAGAAAAGAGGTGCCTAATTTTCTCAGGATGCTTTCAATTTGCTTTACATTTTGAAATAAATACATTTTACCACCAAATACTTTTTAAGGTCGACATGTTCATTAGTAGATCCGAAACTACTTAAGTTATAAGCCTTCTGAACTTCTGTATTTTTCTCTTAAATTATAATTTCCTTTTATTCCTATTTAAAACCCAAGTGTAAAAGATGTGTTCATATGCTTTCTACTCACTCACTTTCCTCTTTTTGGTAACCACAGAGTGACAGCCTTAAATTTTAATTTCCTGACT